TTTGAATTGATGTATATATATATATATATATATATATATATATATATATATATATATATATATATATTCATGGTATGGTAAACTAATCATTTTTAAGGTAAGACTAGTGTATTTGTCAGAATAATGATTAATGAATTTTATATCACAGTATAGGTCCGAAGAATTGAAAAAACACACTATTAAAATAACATACAAATACCAGTAGGCCTAGTTAATTAAAGATAAGCAATAAAAGGCATATTAACTGTAAGAATTGTAACTGATTTTCTCCAGTCTGCCATATAATATGTTTATTACTTTACTAAGAACTAGGCCTAACATGTACCGTAGGCCTATGTAGATTTAGTTCGCATGCTCTCTTCACATCCACCGTCAGGTCGTGTGTATCAGAGGGAGAGATAGAGAGAGGGAAAGAGATTTGAGCATGCTTTACCTTTTGAGTGAACTTTCAAGACGCTCGATTTCATAATTCTGTTGTTTGATGTCCTTCACAACTTCAAATATAATTGTTTCAAACTGTGTGAGAAGTTGAGGTGTTTCTGATGAGTGAAGTTGTTGATACAATTCACAGACTTGTTCTTGACTGCAAAGAATAAAAAAATAAACATATGTCCTTACATAAATACGTAGTAAACAGACAGGAAAGAACCATATATCCTGTACCGCAGAGGGATAGACAATATGGATTCTTCTTAAAATCACTTTGTTTATATGCAAAAATGCATTTTCACGTTACCCCTCATTTTGCACATATTAAACTCAATAATTCTTCATAAACATTTTTGAAATGTAAAAAAAATGTCAATATATCTGTGAATGATTGAATGTAAAAACAACATTATATAGATTGAATATAATTTTATATTATAGGCTATATAGAAATTGCACAAAACAGGCCCATAAGACATATAAATACAGACATGTTGGATTAAGATCTGTAAAATTTGCAGAAGTGACAGTTAAAACTAAATTGCCGAACCGTCGTTATTCATTTTACACTGATAAACACAATTATATTTGATCACGTAAACAAAAAGCACGCTCACAAATAGAAACAAGTTTTCGTATGCACTTTGTATTAATCTACCAAAGCTTATTTGTTGAAACCGATCACGTTTCGTCAAAACATACCCGATGGCATGAGAGTATGATTGAAATACCAACATTTACACTGACATTTCAAAATACGTTTTCCTGAAGCCAAACTTTAAGTAATGTAAACCAACGTAACGTTGGTGGTAGTATTTTGGTAAACCCGAAAATACATCATTAATCTCTCAATGCTACTTCGTTGATTACTTAGATCATGTTTAGGTTTTTTAAGCCTCAAACTCACCAATTAATTGGTAAGGCTATGTCTGCATCCGAGGTCGCGTACACTTCCGTAGATTCTACTTCTTGCATATCATTTACTCAACATTGACAAATCATCAAAAAGTATATTTCTAAACATTTACATGAAATAGCTGTCCAGTATCGTTTACTGTATTCCGAAATATGTTATGCGGGTATCTGATAAAATGCTTTAGCTATCTCAACAGGTAATCAATTAGATTTTGAATATTTATATCATATGCTAATTGTTCTAAATGTCAACACAACCATAAAACGTTTTAATTTCGTGGCTTATATTTATTCAGTTGTTGCAAAGGCTTGCTTTTATACCTGGATACAATAAGAATTTCTTGTAATTAAAAAAAAAAACAAGTGTGGGTTTGGTTGGTCTGAATGTGTGTGGGTGTGTGTGCGTTTTTTGTTTTTTGTTTTTGTTTTTTTTTGTTGCACTTTTTAATGTAATTTCTTTATAAGTTAATATGTTAATAAGAATGTTATTTTTAAAATGTCTTTATTTTTTTTGTGGGTGCCTTTGTCACCATTTCCTTTTAATCTTCTATCATTTGAATTTTATTGAAATTATGCATTTTTCTTGTTAATAAATAATAATAAAACAATAAATGTAATAATAATAATAATAATAATAATAATAATAATAATAATAATGGTAATAATAATAATAATAATACTTTGTAGTTCTGTTCTTGTATATGACTTTTTTAGTCAATCCATCGCTTGACTGCTGTTGTATGATTTTTTAATGCAATGTGTAATAAATACCGGTACCTCAAATAAATTACATTCTATATTACGCTTATGATCTTGAAAGTTTACATTTTTGAAACACTACTTCAGTTTTGGACTGAATTTTGTATTCAGATTTAACTGATTGTAAAACAATAATGATTTTTTTTTTCTCATGCACCCCTAAAAAAATATATATCTATCATATCCATAATAGTTCTGGCAATATACGGTAACATAATAAAAAAAATATTGGGTTTTTATAAATTTATATTATCAACCGAAGCTTTATTAAAAACAGCAACAAACAACAGTAAAACAAAAATCCATTAGGCCTATATTATTACAACATCTAATGGAGAAATTAGCTAAACGGCAGCATGGCCAGCCGTGCCGGTATACTTATCCTTCCAATTAATTGGCGTGCAACCTATGACCTGTTGCCTGGTAAGAACTTATTTTCTGCACAATTGACGATGACAAATTGGATCAATATTTGATTGAAAGTTTTATAATAGCTGGTTTTGTGAAAATTTAATTAGGTGGAAATTATGTTTATCTAACGTTTAGAGAACAATGTGAAGTGAAAATGCTATACCAAACCAAGTGAAACGATGGGAATTGGAAGATAGTTAAACTGCATTGACGTCGAAAAGACTGTTCAAGAACGTTAAATTTGTATAAACAGGTCAATTAAAACTGTTTTAAGTTGGAGATACAACACATCAAAGTCAATTTGAGGTTTTTTAGGCTGTTTAAAGTAATGCAACTATTCCTTCCATTACGATAACAGTTAGGAATTCGATACATACTATCACGGCTACTGTCAGTGTCATTCATAGGACAACATTCTTTGAGAGCTATGCCACACGATGTACACTTCAAATGTTCAATATAAAAAAATGTAAAAATACCAGAAGGCACTAATAAGCAGGGTTTGAACCGCACAATATTGCTACTGTCTCTTATACACATCTAGATGTGTATAAGAGACAGATATTGCATGAAAGTAACTAAGGTATGGAATTGATTAAGATGATAATAAATATTTGACAAAAACGTACGGTATATCCCGTTCCGGATTCGAACCTTAACCTTCTGATTACCGTTCGGATACTCTACCAACTGAGCTATGAGGCCAAGTGGTATACACCCTTGGGTTTCCCGTTAAGACACTTTTTTTCTTCAGTTATTGCGTAATCCCGATGGGGACATACGTTTTTCTCAAATATTTATTATCAACTGAAATATATTGAAATACAAAATACTGGAATACTATTTTAGATTTAAGTTATCTTATATTTATAATTTACTGCGGAAGTTGTAATTGGGGACAAGCTCTCTGACGAAAGTAGTTTTAAAACACCGTTGTTTCCTACAACTCTTCGGGTAAAAATTAAAATATTTAATTTTATGTTTAAACACAGTTAACCTTTCACGCGAGTATTTTGAATTGTGTTACTGCCCTCAGCGACTTGAATGCCTTCACGTTTTATAATGTTGACCTAGAGCAAATACAGATATTCTAATATTGTATTTTCTAGTGTCAGAATGCAAGATTTATACAGCAGCTGGTTTGGACATACCGACTGTTTGTTTAAAATATCTATATTAAAGTCGGCCGTTTTCGGAGAAGGAAAACCAAACCTGAAATCGATACAATGAAATTCTCGACACGGAGATGGAAAGAGAAATACTGTAATCATCTACTTATTCCATGTCTACTAAACAGAAAAGTGCAATTGTCAGGTTGTGATCGCTTGGCGCCATTTCATAGGCCACCGTTAGTCCGCCCACGCATATGAATGTCCTATTTTTCTGCTGATATCATATTTAAGTATGGAAAAAAAATATTTTAATTTATTATAGGCCCAGATTCTGATCCCATTTCTTTTAACATATTATGAAAATCAGAAAGGTAGACCTATACAATATATTTTGAGTTACTTTAATGTTATTATGGCGGTAAATACCTCATGATCAACAGCGAATGTGAAAAATACGACTGGATAAGACAAATATTCTCGATGATGATATTGATAGCAGCACTTGTTGTTTTTATATATTCCAGGCGAAGTTATTGTTTACCTGACTTAATAAATAATTTAAATCTACTTTACACAATATTAATAGAAGACTTGAATAATAATCATATTGGACTCGGTCATAGGATTTCTGGACTGGATATATCGAGAAAGTAGTACAATACGTAATTAATATTATGAATATTTTATTATACTTTGTAAATTAAACCATAAATGATAATTTATAATTTTGTCATTTATACTTTGACTTTAGAGGTATGCAATCAAACTATAAATGACAACGTATAATTTTGTAAGTTACCGTATACTCTGACTTAAGAGGTATCCAATCAAACCATAAATGACAATGTATAACTTTGTCATTTATACTTTTACTGTAAAGAGGTATCCAAACTATAAATGACAATAATGTATCACTTTGTCAATTATAATTTGATCGGATACCTACTGTGCAGCATCATACACAATCAAGGATTCTGTACAAAGGTCAATATTATTTTAGCACTATTATCAGTAGCCTATAGCATTATTATCAAAGAATTATTTTTCACCATATGGAAGAATTAAACTTGGTGGTTTCAGGTCTATTCCTTTAAAATGGTTTATTAAATTCTAAGATTCATTATGACAGTTTGAACTATCACAGGAATAACATGTTTTTTGCTGCTATAATTGGGGCTACTAGATATGCTCAAACCAACCATGAAACCCACCAAATTAATACGATTCACCAAATAGTAGCAAAAACGAATTAATAATTTAAAATTAGAAAAGAAATGATTACGATTTTGGGAATAATACCCACACGGCCAAGACTTTTTGTCTTGGAACTTCTCGTAGACAACGTATTAATCTTGTTAGGTATACCCACATAGCTTAGATTGCCAAAAACTTGTCTGATATATGCCTTAAGGCTGTATCAACCAGATACAGTATTTCAAAATCCTTTGGGGATCAGCCTACTCGACCGTAGGCCCATATGCTAATCTCAAAAAACACCCACGCAGCATAGCATGTTAACGCCATACCTTAACAGAAATATTTCTAAGTGGGCCTATGAATAGATATTTACATATTTTCCTTAGAGGACCTATACAACATTTGACCTAAATAGGAACGTAAATGTGCATTGTCTATTTTCTATCGAGGGAATGTTGAGTTTGCATATTACTTCAGACTACTTCAGTGATCTATTCATGTCCCGGGCCTAGTAAGTGGACTGGGTTGAAGGTAGAATAAAACACACTTGACAATATGCAAAAGATTCTTAAGAAAAATAAATACCACTATCAGTCTGCATGGATTTTGATAAAATATTCAATACACAGAAGTTGCACTTAAATAAAGTAAGGGAACGCAATTTTTCGATTATTTTGGACATGGAAGAAACATATGAAACGATATGTCGGATAAGTAAAGACTTGCCATTTGGTTGATTTTTTTTTTTCTATAATGGAGC